ATTCTCGACTAGAATAAGATGGCAATTTTTACAATAATTATAACAACGTTGCAAGATTGAAAGACTTGTTTTAAATTAGATATAAACTGAAGCCTTTCTGTAATAAAATATAATACAACTAAGCAGAAGAAGAAAAAAGTTCCGTACGGCTAAGTCAAATTACTTCGTACAATGAACGAAAATGTTGAAAATATTATTAACATAGTATTCAATATCTTGAGTAACTTTTGAAGATAAAAAGAATTAATTTAACGTTCTACGCCTAATCTGAATATGTGAGTTATCCGCAAGCCGCAGTTCCCCATTCTTATGATCGTTTCTGGTGTGAGCAAGCCAACTTTCGTTATCATCGAAAGTCAATAAACATAGTTTACAGAAGTCTGTTGGCACACTGCGTAACCTTAAATATCTTTTTTAGAAGAAATCTTAGTTTCTGAATTCAAAAAGTAAGTCTCTAAAAAAATAAAAAAAAGCCATCTCAGCGGTTCAGCACCTTATCTACAACAATGTTTTTCATACAAAGACTGTGATTTTGCACTGTGATTACTAAAAACTATTGACCTAACAGTAAATCAAAAGCAGGCACAAATGAGTTTTGCAATAAATATTAGAAGGCGCAAAATATAAAAAGACGTTTATACGAAAAAAAACAAAAATTTTCATAGAGTTTCCAATGTTAAAATAAATGTTCTAATAAAAACTACAAAAAATAAAAAAGGGGAAAACTCAGAATGGTTTTACGTATTATAAAAACTTACGGAAGAGACTGAAAATGAGTTGCGCCACCGATAATTTCATGACTACCAAGATTGTCCACTGAATTTGGCAGAGAGAATAACTAAAATTTTGACCAAAAAATTATAATGCCAGAAAGCATAAGATTGAAAAGTAAAAAATGTAGTACAGTTCAAGGTAACACAGAACGAAACCTGTGCTGTCTCATGGTCTTCACTTTGAAAATGTGCACTACTCTGTTCGCTAGTTTCAAAGGTTTCTTTACATATGAGACAATTTGGTATAAAGTCGCCTGTTTGGGTCATCGTTGCAAATGAAGAACTCGCAAAAAGAGCCACCGGTAGGTTTGTTATATCAGTTGCTGTATTTAATGGAACAATCATTGACTCAGTCTACAAAAATAAAATTTAAAATAGGCGTGAAAATTGAAAAAAATTTTTTTAAACAGACGTTAATCTGCAGCATTATAAAGGCACAGGTAGTCTTTATAAGATATACCCTTTTGTTTTCGAGTAACTTGAAAACGCGTGTTGCATCGATTGCAAGGAATGAATCAGTAGATAAAAACTGAGTTCTTACTGGTACTTTTAGAGGAAACCCTTGAGAGACCAGAGGATGCAAAGATGATAAGGGTATTATCACAGAACAGTTCTCATGCGTACCTTCCCTTAAAAAACCAAATTATTACGTCACAAAAATATAAAAAAGATTTAATAATTGAAAATTAACATTTCAGTATTCACTATCAGTGCAGACAACAGAAAAATCAATAGAACCTTAAGGCTGTTAATTGAATTTCAACACTTTCATTGTTAATCCCAGGGCGAATCCTTAATGCAATGTGGGTCAGGTCACCAGAACTATCCTAAAAGTTCACTTCAGAGTGCCATTGATAAGATGACTTGACCAAATAACATAGACTTACTTCGACTAAATGAAAAGAGGATAAAAAACTCTGAAAACTCAATAATATAAAAGCCTTTTTCGTAAAAAACCTGGCATAATTCACCTGAGCACGTAAACGTGAAAAAGCTGAGGTCCGAGACTGCTCTATAAAGCGTATATTTTTCGATGGTGTTAGCTGAGCCACCGTTTCTTCAAACTGAAGATTTGTGGTAAGAGGGGCTACGCCTTGGTTACCTCCTTTGTGCTCCATATGAACTCTTCGAAAATGGACATTGCACTGCCGTTGTGTGCTGTAACCAACATCGAAAGAAACGTTGAAAAATTATAGAAATACAAATTTGCGAAAATGAGATACAATGGAACAAAAAAAAACGAGATTTTTGAAACATCTACATACTGAATTATAAGCAAAAACGAATTGAGCGTTAAAAAGTTTGGTAAAATATGAAAAATAAGTCTACATACACGAATCTTTGGTCACACGTGATTTCGGAACATTTATAATTGCGCTCTCCTGCGTGACTTAATCTCAAATGCAATTTCAAAGCTGAATTAGAACCATAAGAACGATTGCATAGTGTACAAGAATGTCTGGCGTCGTCGCGATCTCCATCATGGACTTTACTGTGCTGATACAACGTTGACTTAACACGAAAATGACGACCACATATATTACAACCAAATGGTTTCTCACCTGTAACTAAAAATTACGAGAACAAAAACTTGAAAGCCTTAACAGAAGCGCCTTTAAAACCACATAAACCGAACCGGTATGAATTCGAAGATGCCGAGTTAAGTCACATGGTTTTGTAAAAGAACGTTTACACGTCTCACATTGATGAACCTTAACAAAAAGAGTATTTTTGACCCAACAAAGCACTTTGAGAATATCCTAATATCAATAAACTCATAATCAAAAAATTCTACAGCAAATCTGAAATTTCTGCTGCCTTGGAAAAGCAGCCAGAGAGAACAACAGAAACTTGAAAGCAATACTATTCAAAATACAGAGCAAAAACAAAAAACTGCTGAGAAAAAATACCTTCTTTTGCGGTCGAACGCAAGATGACAACAGAGGAAGTTCAGAAGAAGCTGTATTAAAACCATTTTTCTGCAAACGTTTACTGCAAAAAACTGTAAAAAACATCTGCTAAAAAATCTCTAAATATTTATGCAGTTAATACCTCCTTTGAACTGCAGTGAATAGCTCTCATATGTTCTGCAAGTGCTCCACAACCATTAAAAGAAGCTAAACAATGTTCGCAACTCAGAACAGCATATTTGTGGTCATCGTCAATAATCATATTAGAAAGATGCACTGTGAGCTCATTATCTGAAAACCTGCGTTATTTCAAAAATCATTCTCCATCATTTTTAAATAACAGATACTCCTACTATCGGAGATTCAAACTAAGATCAGATTTCTATTACGCTTACAGGAACACTGCAAAAAATACCTGAAGAGAAACTAAAAAGACACACTGGGCACATTAGGCAACGGCTAGTATTCGCAGTAGAACTTGTCGGTGAATAAATTTTTCTACCTGTTAAATTTTTTGAGACAACTGCTCCTTGGGCCCCCTTAAAAAATTTGAAAATAAAAACGATAAGCTAACTCCAAAATTAATAAAAACAGATGTAGATAAAGATCAGAATGACTTATAATAAACTCTTTCTACATATCAAAACCGTTTTAATGTCCCTTATCCTATGACAATATTTTCGTACAGTTTATTCAATACAAATGATTTTCGGTGACGTAAACAATGACTCTAAAGGAATGGCCATCTCTCAAAAAGTAAAACTCACCCAGTACGTTTTTAAAAGGCTTATAGGGACATGAAAAGATGCCTTCATGAATTGGTTAAATGACTATTAAGGCTAAGTCCTAATATTAAAAAGAAGTAACTTTTGAAAGGCAGATAAGTTTTTGCGGTGCATTAAGTACTCAGTCATCAAAAAATGAACGCTACCCAGCCACAGATCCTAACTGCCCACGCTATAACTCGTATGGACTTGCGGACAGTTCCTTAAACAAACTTCAAAAAAATCCGTGTAAACTTTCCGAAAATGACTGACAATTAACGAACAATATTTCTTTAAAAATATACTCGTGTAAAAAAGAACGCAAAAACTATAAGTTGTTTAGGTCAACTACTTAGAAAAAAACTTGAGGTGAACTGTATATAAAATTTGAAACTTCCGTAGTTTTTTGATATTTTAAAAACAGTGGCTTACATAAGACCAACGCTGAGCAAGTTTTCTAAGAACCATTAGCGGATAATAACGGCGTAGGAATATTTCATCAAAAGTTGTATCCTAGTGTACGCAAAAGCTCCACCAAGACTACACGTAACACTCGTAAAAGAATCCTCAAAATTTGAAATTTGAAAACCCAGTGGCAAGAAGCGCAAGACAAAAAAATACAGGAAATTTCTTTGAAAGTAACTCTTTGCTATCAAAAATAATTTTACATTTCCACACCATCACAGTTTGGCAGAAATAACCAAGATAAATGTGCCAGGTGCAAAAAAGCTACTGGGGCAAAAAACGAAATTCTTCCCCAGAACCCCCCCCCCAAAAAAAAGAATAAGAGATTTTGTCAGATAGTTATTTTAAGACAAAATAGCAATTTATAGAAGTAGTTCAAGCAAAAAACCCAATAAATCTTGAACAACTTTAACAAAGAAATATTACTTTTCAACCCCAGCCCTTCATTTTACCACGAAAAAGTAAAGGAACTAAAGTGACATTTATGAATATTAAACTAAAATGAAAAAGTAAGCAATGAGCACTCGGCTCATAAAAAGTTAAAAACAAAAAACTCTAACAAAAGTAAGTTACACTTGATAAAAAAATAATCCAGGCATCAAATTATTATCGTCAACGACAATGTAACCATCAGATTCATTAGCTCTTATTATACTCATACCCTTAATCTCGCTACTCAAAAACTGTAAAAGTAAAACAGGAAAAGCAGCCTTAACTTACCTAATCATCAAATAAGGCGCTGTGCTTGAAAAACAAAATAATTTCGAAAACTTCTGTATTAAAAATTCATAACTGACAAAAATTGCAAAACGAGGAGATTAGTATTCATCTGAACAGGGTTCAAAGCTATTTTTCAACTGATTAAGCTTAAAAGAAGTAAGGTTATAGAAGCAGTTTCTGCTTTAAGAACATTTGGTAAGACCCGACTAGTCAAAATTCCTACAAAATTATGAAGAGGTAAAGCACTGTCACAAACAGAGATGCATTTAAGTAAAACCATTCCAGCGTCGACTGCTGCGTCAGATCCTCGACAGTGGTCTCTCTGAAAGTGACTTTTGTATTCTTCTCTTGCCTTGAACGTGTGAGGGCACATGTCACATTTAAAATATTGAGGAGCAGAGCGGACATTTTCGTGAAACTTGAAACCAGCTAAAAATAATGTAATGGAGGAAAAAAATCATTTTGGATTTACATTATTCGCATAAACACTTGAACGAATTATGAGTGACACTGAGTAGATGGGATAAACAAATGGAAAAAAATGAATGAAAAAACAATCAAAAACTCGACCAGGATGTAACTTTGAGCCACTGTGAAGCTCATTATGTTCTTTTGAGGAACGTAGGCATAAAGAAGATCCGGCAGGTGCTGTACACTGATAAAGTTGCAAAGCATCAGCAGTATCATTTAGCTCATTTCCGCCCACAGTTGAAAGATCGAGTAAGCTTTTGCAAGCATCCCTCCGAACGTTCTCACGCACGCATGCTACTTGATGCGTTTCTAGAGCTTTTTTCGAAGCAAATGACTAAAAAAGGGAAACTGTTTTTAACCAATGTAATGTTTAGTAGCGTTTTTACAGATAAAGTGGTTTTACATTTAGTGAGAAAAAAGTAGCAAAGCAGAAATAGGTAGCATTGTATAACTTGCTTGATCACAAATGCCACAGTGTTCTGCGGTTCCAGAACCCGCTTCCGAGTTTTCTGAAGAAGCTTCTGTTGTAACAGACTAAAAAATACGATACATTTGAAACTACGCAAAAAACTAGAAGAATGTACTCCAATTTCTACTTAAATTCTAACCAATTCTATTTGAGTCACAACTAAGCAGCAGGGAGATTTAAACTATACCATTAAGAAGGGGCTTGTAGAACTACCCTGTTGCTCATGCGCTCCAAAATGAACAGCAGTAGGTACAAGGATAACTCTTTGAACAGGTTGACTTCCAGGAGAAGTTCGTTTGATGTTAGGGGGCTGCCGATGACGAGTTAGGTTGCTGGACTTCGCGAGGGTCTTGACAGAGGCAGAACAACAGGTCAAACGGCGCTTAGTAAAAAAGCTGCTTGCCTTGAAATTTTATCAAAAACTGATACATTTCACTAGGTGCTTCAAGCAACAAGAGAATTTATGCTCAATGCTTCAACTTTTTATTGATATATGAAATCAAAATACCAGCGTACTGGCGTAACTTCTAATACAGAAAAAAAAACTTAATCTGGCCTCAAAAAATAAAATTCATTTTAAAAACTAAATTCAACATGAAAAAATTACAAGCTTTTCATAAGAAGTGATTTAAAAAAGCAAAAATGTTCCTTTTGACGTCATTTTCTGCTTAGCGCAACAAAATCCGAAAAAAAAACATTGCAAATTTGAAAGTTAAGTATGAAAATACGACAGAACTAACGAACTGATCAGCAACCTGTAAATCGCTTGCGGTTTCTGATGCGTCATAACAAACTGAAGGCATAACTAAAAAGAACTGCTTAAATGAAACGTATTAAGCAGCACTTCCTCTGTCATCGTACTATACGTTTGATAACAGCAGAAAGCGAATGACTTCAAAGAAATAAAAACTGTAACGTTAGCAGTGAACAAAAAATGATCATCATTTTCAAATATTTAGAAAACTAAAACGAAAAAAAGAGTATGAGAGAAACCTCACCTTCTGGGTCCTCAGGATGTCGTTTACTCATATGAACTTGCAATGGTTGAAACGAGTTGAAAACACAGGTGCAATGCGGGCAGGCAAAGACAGAGCGAGATGATGCATTGACGCGATGAAGTAAAGAGACGTGTCTGCGAAGATTACCAGCTTGGGAAAACGTAGCTTCACACAATTCACATTTGAACTTCGATGATCCACCGGACACGTGACATTTCGTATGCTGTTGCAAAGAACATTTCTGGGAAAACTTTTTGCCGCATTGATCACATTGAAACCGTTTTTCTTCTGCAAAGGTGCTACCAAGTGCAAATAATTTCTTGACAGAAATGAATTACTGCCATACAGAAAATTATAAGCTATATTGCGCCTAAAGTTCTTTCAATTTCTCAAAGCCCGAAAAAATAAATTATTCTTCACAAAATATTGTTTTCATTCCCCTTAGGTAACGGTGAATCCAAAATGAACATTCTTATGTATAATACAGCATGAAAATAAACTGAAAAAATCGCTATCCTAAAAACCTTTCTGATAGCTCGCGAAAAAGTCTACATGTAGAGATATTGCAGCCAAGCTTAACAGTAAAAATTTAATTGCTTTATTTTAACTAAATAAAAAAAAAACGAAACGAGTGGTTTTTTTAAAACAAACTCGTGTGCACAACAGAATGACGAGTTAGTTCGTAGAGTTTCGCAAACCCCTTTCCGCAAACTTCACACTTGTGTTGTTTAGCTGCGTTGTCCTTCACTTTCCTTCTTTTTGAGCACTTCATAATTCTGCTGCAATTCTTTCGGAAGTGGGAAAGACTGGCAAAAGAGATAATCTGTTGCTACCCTTACTAACATATAAAAGAAAAGAAATAGCAGAATTAGTTTAGTTTAACTGTCTAGAAGCCTTCCCGTATCTACGCAACTGACAGGAATTGAATATATTTGATGATAAATTTTTCAAATCAAAGTTAGTTCGTCTCAAGAGTAATACAAAAATGAATTTACTTAATTTTTCGATGAAACAAATTATGTTCTTCCATTTTTCCCTTATCCAAGAAGAGAAATCCACATCGCTTACAGATCTGTGATGAGCTGTAACAGTCTTCAACCGCAGACATGTGTGAAACCCGAACATGATGTTTCAAAAGCGCCTTAAAAAACTTATCATTAAGCACATTTTCAACAAATATATGCATATAATCGTCACTTTCCTTGAAGTTTTTAAATCTACCAAGTCTTATCAAATTGTAATAAGTCGCTAATCATCTACCTCAACTGCCTTCTTTAAATTTTTTATCATGTGCGTAAAATCATAAAGCCTTTGCGTTCATAAAAATTTAGACTGTTTCAACTGCAAAGAATAATTAAAATGGATGATTCGACCAGAACTAACCATGTACTCGAATTCTTCCTTGCAAATAGTGCATACAAGAGTTTCACTAACAAAGTGCTGATTTAAATGACCATAGTATGCGGACGCCCTACTAAATTCCTTACCACATAAACAACATTTTCTCCGCTGACTATCAGTTAAACTACTTCGTGAATGTGCAACCATGCCATGAACAGTCAGATTCTCTTCTTTGTTGAATTCCTCGTTACACAGTTTACATCTGAAAAAAGTGCATTAAACTAACAGTGGAAACAATTGCCTCGGAAACTACACAACTTTCAAAACTACCTTAATAAAGATGTATATTAAACAACAAGTGAATAAAGATTGAGGTCTACCAAAAACGTGAAAAACTTGCAACCTAACAACAAAAAATCATATTACTTGAACTCTTTTTCGAGAAAACAGCCTTTAACATGTGTCGAATAATCCTCTGCGGTAAACCGACGATCACAAACAGTACATCGAATAAAAGTGTTGAGCTGGAATGCTAGATTATTATTACCGAACGAAAAAGAAGTAGAGTTGAAAGAAAATAACAATTTTGAATACTATCCGTAAATTCAGCGAAGCTTCCTCACCAATTTAAGAGTAGCCATAAAAAAAAAATTTTCACAATTTAGTTTTTGCTACTTGTCGCCACAAAATTCCGTAACTGTTTCACTGGTTTTTTTTAATATTTGATAATATTACTCCACAACAGAGAGAAAGAGGAAAAAATCTTATTCAGTTTTACGACTTGAAGGAAGAAAACTGACATTATCAAGAAGCACTGTATCATCCTTCCCTAACACAGCGTCCTTTGACTGAGTGTTTAAAAAACTCTCATACGAATTTAGCCCATCACGAACCAGTACAGCTGCAAGAAACTTTCCCCTCTAAATTCGCTGAAGAATGAAGCGCCAACTGGCCAAAAAAGAACAGTTAACCATAAAAATTTTGACTCGATAAAAGCTTATTAAAAACAAATATCCTCCTCCAGAAAATATTTTGTGTTTACCAGAAATTTTTTTAAAGGAACTTTTTACTTTTGGAGTTGAATCCATCCTTTAAAAAGTGTTGTAATAGCAGATTTAACGTTACTTTATATATTTCAACTTTTGCAAATAGACCTGCTAAGTTCTAAATACTTTTCATAGTACAACAAAGGTTGTCAGCCGTAACCTTGAAAAATAAAAAAAAAGGAAATTAGACACAAACAACAAATTGTTTAAACAAACTATTTTCTGCAGTAGCAAGCGAAACTGCAAAAACTTCATCTGGCACTTTAAAACCAGCACTACTTCCTGGCTTTGAAGTATGAGGTACGGCAGCTTCAAAGCTGCCGGGCAAATTGCAGAATTTTGAGGACTGTTTAAGTTCAGAACCAATGTCTGTAGAAGGAATGTCTACTCCATCCTCGTCGCCAACAACAACGTATCGCACTGACAGATCCCCGCCAGCATTAGCAACTAACATAGCTGCCCTTGGAATTACATATCTATAATAAACTTGATAACGATGAAGGTCGGCATGGCAGGACTCGTGCAAACATAAGGATTAGAAGTTTTCATAGTACCTTCGTTTCAAAAAAAAAAAAAAAAAAAAAAAAAAAAAAAAA